GACGTATGCGGCCGACAAATTAGACCTTCGGAGGACCCATCCTGCCGTTTTGGACACAGCCTATATAATAGAATTTTCTGAGACAATAAATTTTTGGGTTTTTTTTTTCCAGTAAGAGGTTTTTATTTAATAGAATTTTTGGACAAAAAAATCGCAATATATCGCCTTGCTTACAGTATCGCAATATATCGGGAAATATCGTATCGCGACCCCTCTGTCATGATATGTATCGTATTGCCAAATTCTTGCCAATACACAGCCCTAATATTTATACATACATGCTGTCAAAATGTATCAGTCTGCTTTGCACCGGAGCGGAGCAGGTGCAGTGTAAATCCAGGGTCAGCTACTATCACACCACATATTACCTCAATATCTTTCAAAATGGCTGAGTTCAACTCATTGGCTGTGTCCAGATTCAGTGGCTGAGTCCTTGGTAGACCACAAAGACTGGAAAAATGGKTCTGTGAATTTGGACGATCAACGCTAAACAGAAGCAAAATCAGATCAAAATGAGCAAAATATCAATATATTATTAGTTTCACAAAACAACAAAATGAGCTTAAAGGCAATAAGAACTAACTGACCTGACGTAGGTGCATGTTTATTTCTCTATACCAGCTCGTTTGATTTCTGACAAGAGTAATAGTAAAAACATGACTATACAAATGATAAAAGCATTAACAACACAACCAATTGAAACTTTTTATTTTTATACCACCATATTTGTATTTAAAACTGTACTCCTTACTCTCGATTCGTCCACCATTACAAATGGGGGAAAAAAATAAACTCTTGTAGACACACGATGCGTTATGGGAAATGGTGGGCCGAGAAGGATCCATCGGACCGATCCCTCAAATCGGGGAAAAATTAGGACACATTTGTTGGCCGCATCGGAGGAGTCTTTGAATTTGGACAGCCTCCGGCGCAGCGCTGTGACGTAAGCAGCCGACAGATTGGGCCTTCAGGGGACCCAGCCCCTGAATTTAGACTCAGCCATTTATCTGGTTGGCTACGGTTGATTATCTGTGGCAGCCATCTTGATAAATGTTAATCACTTGTAATTGTACATCCAATGATTACAGTCATCCATTCTGTCCTCTGGTTCATGAGATCATTTGCTAACAGACATACAAACATAGACACACAGGCAAATACATGATCTCCTGCCTTCCATGGTGGAWAGTGATGCTGAATGAAGCCATGGATGTTAAATCATAACTTTTAGTAAGATCCTGAACAAAGCGAGCACTACAACCATAAAAATAAGCTAAAATTTAACATTTATCACTGGATGATTGAAGTCTTCCATGAAAGGAGGAGCTTTATGTACCTGAATTTTTGTTTTGCATTGTGCAAAACTTCTCACAATTTCTGATCAACTTGTTTGCACTTTTGAAGAGTAACAATGTGTACATGTAAACTGTTGCCTTCTTTCCTTAATCTTTCAATAAAATATGTAGCTTTTTTTTAAAAGACTACTCTAAATTTAAAGTGTCATTTTTGTGTACCTGACTGGAATTCTCTTCTGTATTTTAAACACAATCGCTTCCAGGTGACTGTTTTCAGATTTGTTGATTAAACAATACAGAATGATTGATGGACCACTGAGCTGGTTTTATTTTAAAATGAATAATAAAAATTTCAGCTTGTTTGGTAGGAGCACTGGATCCAGAATTCATACAGGATACAAGGAGCTCACAAACAGAATCATTTTTTACATTTCAAAGGCTGTCACAGCAGGAAATTTGACTTACAAAGAATCAACTTGGTGAGAAGCCCAAGAAACACAAGGAGTGGCTTGAATGAACCAMCCTAATTGAGCGTGRCTTGGTGTTAGAGCAACAGATTAAATTTATTACAGAAAGATTCAGGAAGCAAAAGTATCAACATTTTAATTAGATTCTTCAAGAAAACAAAGTTAATTAACAGAATATGATTATAA